AACAGTAGACTTTAATTATATGCATTTATGGTGTAATTACTAAATTTCCGTGTCAATCCATGTTAATTTTTACCACGAATAATGCGCTGTCACTTTAATTCAGCGCGTGCAGCACAGCAGAAATAGACTTGCGCATGTGTCGAGCTCGTCCGTCCGCACTCATCCGCGGTTGAGTATACTTTGAAAGCTGTGCGGACGCGGCTGTGCGCGAGACGGAACGGAACACGGAGAGTGAAGTATACCCGGGCCTATAGACTCCGTGCGGAAACGATCGCAGCATGACTGCTGCAGACGCACCGCTCCTGGAGCGCACTGCCGGACCGCAATCGTGTGCAGTGTGAACGCTCCGATCCGTTAACATGGGCGCGGACAAAATACGCACCACAGACGGAGTGTGTGAACCTGGCGTTTCGTTTGTATGCCCGCACGGTCTGTTCTGTTCTCGTGCTCCATTTAGGCGCACTGCATTCTGATTGGTTCGGAGAGGTCTGCGGCATGGAAAATCGTGCTATAAAGAGATTTCGAAATCGCGCAAGCTCAAATCGCGATTTTATTACGATTTCGATTAATAGCACAGCCCTAAAAATTACATATAAATACATTTACACCACTTAACTTAATGACTGCTATCGGGATGTGAAGAGACTTTCAACCAGCATAACAAAAAATGTTTCTGAAGACAATCACCTATTGCACCTTTAAAATTTTATTTGAATACATGTTAAAATTTATTTTATTGCTGGGATCAAAGCTAAATTTTGCACTGTAAAGCACACAACATTTATCCAATAATGAGGATTCCTGACCTGAAAGGCGGGACCTGTCGAGCGGGATCTTCCTCGGTCACCTTCACCGTGTGATTGGGGAAACAGGACTTCAGGTGCTCGATGGACAGGAAGGTGTCGTTGAAGTCCAGAGAGGGAATCTGGTTGGGCATCTTTGAGTAATGGGCACTACCAGGATCTCCATAACCCAGAATGATGTCGTGAAGCCAGTCGGGCACCACACACTCAGTGTTCATCAGGTTACGAATGGTCTCCAACACGGCCTGAACACAACAAAACAAATTCATTTTTGATCACTATGGATGGTCGAATCACCAAAGCTCTATTTTTTGTGTTGATTAAAAGGCAATATCTACTTCCAATCTGATTAGGCGCTTCCTGGCCAGCTGTTTTTAGCATCATTAATACATAGCATTTATTAATATTTCAAAAAACATTTTTCCAGATGTTAAAGTTTTATTAAACGATCTACCATTTAGTCTTTTGAAATTGCTCTAAGAGTATTTCAGAAAGCGTTTCAGCACTAAAACTAGCTTCTACATCTGTGGAACGTTAGGAGTAGTGAAGAGGACTCCTAAGTCACTAAGACCAAGCCACAAAACTATCCTAAAATAGCTGTTGCCCGCAATCTGCCTTGGAATGTATACATTTCAGAAACATTTGAAGATAATGAGCTTTTAGAAAGGTATCGCCTTCGGTTTTGGAGGTTATCCCAACTCCACATTTTTGTTGTTTTCATTAACCAGTTGGGTAAGAAGTAACAGCTGTTCCGTCCAGTTTGGTTTTCTTTTACGTTTGCATGTCTTACTATCAGTCATGATTATTCTACTCTGTTAATTAAAAGGCTGTTTATTTATTTGTTTACGGCAACATGACCTTTATTTGAATATGACAACATAATATCACACTCTACATTATTTCTATGAATAAATCTCTGACAGAGACTATCAGCCAATCACTGTGTGCATAGTTAATAAGCATGCTGACATCATCCATAGCAACGAGGTCAACTCCACCCCCTTACTCTTAGCTTAAGATTTCTCTCTATCCCTTAATAAAAGTTTGTCTCAGCAGCTTTGTGAATTGGTTTTTAAGAGAAAACTCTTAGCTAAAAACTTTTACTGCTATTTAGGAGAACTCTTAGTGGTAAGAACATGTTTTGTGAATACGGGTCCAGAATTGCTAGATGTGAACTCGGAATTCTGAGAAATGAGTCAGAATTGCGTAAATTCGGAATTGTGAGAAACTCAGAATTCTGAGTTTTAAATCTTGCAATTCAGTTATTTTAGCGAGAGAAAAAAAAAGGCAAAATCACAAGGTATAAACAATTACCTTTTTTAAAAAAAATGTATTCCATGGTGCAAACAGGCTTTTAATCACTTAAACTATAAATGTAACTAAAATTAGAAAATGTGCATTGGTTTGGTTTGCAAGTTTTTATTTCAGCTATTGTTTATTTCATTTATATACATTTTTTAACAGTTATATATTTTTAGTTGCAGTCAACAGTCTACTGGCAGGCATATATCGGGAATGGTCTGACCTTGAAGTTGTTCTCTTTGGGTTTGCGTCTCATGATGATATTGAAGGTCTCGTAGGGGTCTTCTGCTCCGTTCTGGATGCTGTTGGTCATGTCCTGCTGGTACTGGTTTGGGTCGAGCCATATCCGGAACGTCCTGGTGTCACCTTTTAATTTGGGCTTCGGATCAGGACCTTTGCACAAATAAAACCATAAATTAGTCACAAGATGATTCCTCATTTGTAAGTCGCTCTGGATAAAAGCCTCTGCTAAACGGATAAATGTAATGATGGAAATCAATTCAGTCTAAATCGAAGTTAATTTGTCAAGTGAATTGACACTGAAATCACTGGACCAGAAATGACCAGTGATACTAGACCACATTCAGAAGGTCCAACAGTGAGGACCGTCCAGGGTCAGTGTGAGAGAGATTCAGTTTTCAATACTGATAATCAGAAATGTGTCTTGAGCAGCAAATCAGCATATTAGAATGACTCCGTAGACTGGAGTAATGATGCTGAAAATACAGCTGCGCATCACAGAAATAAACTACAGTTTAACATATATTCACATAGAAAACACTTATTTGAAATCGTAATAACATTTCGCAATATTACTGTTTTTGCTATATTTTTGATGTGTGCATGTGTTGCATAATTACTGTTCATTTGTAAAAGCATGGCAACCCACATAAAACTCTATGCTTATGACCTGTGCTTAGAAAGCTCTGACAGTCTAGTCTGTGCACTGTCTGTCCATCATACGGTTCAGTGAACTCCGTAAACAGTCTTACCTTCCTCTATGACGCGGCCCTTATCATCCAGCATGCCCTGCACCTCACAGCCTCTCACGTACACAAGCCCGGCCTGATCCACAAACGGCTGCCGGCGGTCAAAGCGCGTGCCGAAGAGCAGGTTGGGTCGCACCGTGATCAGAAAGCAAACGTCGTGCTTGCGCAGCCCTGTAAAAACGAGCAAAGATGTGAAGAGATGGAATGAAGAAAAGCTGTTGTTGCACTTACATTTATTAAACTGATATTATCAGCTTCACCGGCATTAACATGTCAGATACAAATGAAACATTCAACAATATAATATAATACAATGAGTGTTCATTAATATTTTGAACATTTATGTTTTATATTTTCTGTTCTCATTTTAATTATGGTTACATTTTTAGCAATTTTGCATTTGTCATTTTTTAGATTTTTTTATATTATTTTTATTAGGTTTTAGTTTTAGTTTTCCCTCTTTGTCGCCATCTCGGTTTAAAACCTGCAATTGCATTTATTTGCGGAATTATATTTGTAACCCTTTAAACCTTTAATGAATGTAATTTTGATCAACTCTTAACGAGCATTGAGCAGTCCCTCTAAACCGAAGTGTACCAGACGCGCGCCCCCCCCCCTCCGCGAAATTACTACTAATATTTTTCTAACCACGACCTTGATCAACAAAACATGGATATCATTTGAAAGTTTAGAGTTTTTAATAATTAGGTATCATTTTAAAGCTTAGAAATTCAGCTTTTGAATGCATCCAACCATTTTGATCGACTCCTAACCAATTCTGCCTAGTTCCTCTAAACCGGAGTGTACCGCCGGAGGGCGCCCCCTAGCGAAGAAATTTTTAAAAAAAAAAAATTCTTATTTTTCAAAATAACTACCTTCATCAACACAAAATAGGTGTCATTTGAAAGCTTGGAGTCTGACTTTTACAATGCATGTGGCCACTTTGATTATTTAAGTTATTTGTGGATAAATAGTTTTTTTTCCCCCATAATTTATGAATAATGTTTTTTGTGCCATGTCCTATGTAATATGTCAGAAACATCATAAAGCTCAGATAGTCATGTGTCATATGTCATTTGAAAGGTCCCATCGAGTAGAATAAAACAAGTATAATTGTTTGGGGCTTTGACTAAACTTGAGTGAGGCATTACTTCAAATTCAAAACAACAATTTCCAAACTGTAAAGGGCTAAGAGAAAGGCTACCTTGGTTCCAAATGCTGTAACTTTTGATCACTTCATAATATCACCACAAAATGTACTTCACATACAGCACACATGTTGAGGAGCATCACCAAAAAAAGAATTTATTTAAAATGCCTTCAGGGAGTCAAGATCTAAACAAAAAGGCCCGTTTTGCAATCCGCCATCAAAATGATCATTTTAATTATTCCAGCTGCTGTGAGAAAAGGCTATAAACCAGGTATGTCCTGCAGAGTTTAGCTCCAACTTGCCTCAACACACCTGACTGGAAGTTTCTATGCCTAGTAAGAGCTTGATTAGCTGGTTCAGGTGTTTAATTGGGGTTGGAGCTAAACTCTGCAGGACACCGGCCCTCCAGGACCGAGTTTGGGCACCCCTGCTATAAATGATCCGCCACCTGCAGGATCCTCACATGCGATAGCCTAGTAGCCGGGACAACTTCTCTATGTTTACAGACGTGACGTAATGACAGAGCAGCATGCCCAAATTTCGACGAATTCCTACCAGTACCGCTCAAACTAGAAAACGTTATTATAAGCTAACCGTTGTGAATCAGGCTAAGGTAAGGAGATAGTTTTGAACACTGGCTGGTTATGTACTTGCTCAAAAACTGATTTCGTATCATTTTTAACCTAAAAAGGTACAGACTGCAGCTTTACGTTTTTCATTAATGATAAATAACCATGATTTTGCTAGGTGCTTTCAAGGGTGTGAGGGGCAGAGACAGAGAGAGACAGCTTTACCCTCCCACTCGTTTTTGATGTTATTCCGGATGTTGAGGTTAATGGTGACGTCAGCACGGACGCGGGCAGGCCAGTTCTCTCCGATGTTTGGCTTGGCCACCTCCACGATAGAAAACGACGCTATGGTCTGTGCCATTCTAGCCCATCCTCCAAACACCACTCCTCCGTACTCCGACTGCCTGCGGGACACAAGCACACAAACACAGCAGATCATAAACAGGACGCTCACGCCGTTCTTTGACAGTACGCATAAATGCTGTACAGGGGTTGTCAAGCTTCAAAATTGACAATAAATTATAATCCCAAGTACTTTTAAGTTAGAAAATATATCCTGTGTGTAATCCACATAAAGTATCTTGACATTAAAAAAAGTTTTATTTCTAAAAAAATTAATTCTATTTCATCCTCTTTCACTATTTTGTCCATTTAAGTACACATTTCCTACATTCTTGCTACCAAAACACCTTGAAAATCAGCCCTTGATATAGTCCCGAGCCAAGTCACGGGAAATGGCCTTTAGAGGTTAATTTGGGTATGAAATCAAACTCTTTTGTTAAAATGCTAAAAATGTTTAAGACTGAGAACAAACTAGGGCTGGACGATATGGCCAAAATTGATATCATGATATATTTTGCTGTACTGTGGATCAAATAAATGCAGGCTTGGTGAGCAGAAGAGAATTCTTAAAAAAAATAAAAATAAAAACATTAAAAATCTTACTGTTCAAAAACTTTTGACTGGTAGTGTAGGCTGATTATTCTTATAGATTGAAACAAATGTGCTTCAGCCAGAAAAAAATGGTATGAAAAGTGCCCCGAGTCGCTGCAGAAAACACAAAAATTGAACAACAACAAAAACTGGAAATGTTGCTGGAGACGGGCTTATTTGAAATGAAAACTGATTCTCTGCCAGCAGGAGGCGCTTTTAGAGCGATAAAACTAGCGGTTTCTCCAGTAACGGCTGTAATCACAGCAGCTCCGCTCATGAACGCTACTTTATCAGATCAAATGAAAATGCCATCGAAACTTTTCTGAAGACAGTCGATTCCCTTCAGAGATACATTCATATAAAACACCCGCGACGCGTTTTGATTTTGAAACGTGCAGTGCTCATGTTTATTCAACGAAGTCAAACGCCACAAATAAATCAATGTATGGGAAACTGGTAATGTACAGTATATCGGAAATGTGTTTAAAAATCATATCACCGTTATTGAAAAAAATAATATCGCGATACATATTGATATTGAATTATTGTCCAGCCCTAGAACAAACCATGGCTTCATCCGTAACACGACGTCCTCGATATCCTGCCGGATTTCATAGGTGGACTCCAGTCGGAAGAGGTTGAAGTTTCTCAAAAGATAGTCATGCAGGGTCAGAAACTGCAGGTTCAGCTTGGGGAGAGCTAAACAACCTGCAGATTCACAAACAAACTAATTATCTAAAAGTATTAGACTGTTTTACTATATCTTAAAATGTAGTATGTAGTGATGCACTGAAATAAATTTAGTTTTCAGTGTTTTGGTTAAAAGTTTTCATTAAACGAAAATAAAGTGTAATAATTAATTCATTATACTTATTTAATAAATCTCAAAATAATAGCATAATAGTTGTATATAAAAATTTAAAGTTTTACATGTAATTATTTTTATACTCCAATTCTTCGTTGACAAACATTTCAAACCAAAAATCTGTTTTCAGTAGATTATATTCAGTTGCTGAAATTTCGATGCATCACTATTAAAATGTTGTCAGATATAACTACAGGAAAATTCTGTCATTATTTTACTCCTGTTGAACAAAAAACTTTTTTTTTTGAAGAATCTTCAGGCAGCTTTTTTACAATATTTGGTAAAATAGTCCGTGTGACATCAGGGGTTCAACCATAATTTTACGAAGCTACGAGAATACTTTGTGTGCGCAAAGAAAACAATAACATAACTTATTCAACAATTCTACTCCCAGAGTTAACGTCTTCTGCCATTTTGGAGAGTATCCACTGAACGTAATCAGCGTAATGAGCGTTGTTTACGTTTAGCATGCGTGCGCCGTCTACTGAACATAAACATGATTACGTTCTGCGGTACTCCCCAAAATGGCGGAAGACGTAACTCGGCAAGAAGAATTGTTGAATAAGTTATGTTATTGTTTTCTTTTGCACAAAAACAGTATTCAACAGGGGTTCAACCATAATTTTACGAAACTATGAATTGAAAAACTATGAAATGAAATATAAAATTACAGTTGAACCCCTGAGGTCACATGGACTATTTTACCGATGTCCTTGCTACGTTTCTGTGAGTTAATCGTGGTAGTATCATTGCGGTCTATGGAGGGTCAGAGAGCTCTAGGATTTAAAGGGGTCATATGATGCGATTTCAAGTTTTCCTTTCTCTTTGGAGTGTTACAAGCTGATTGTGCATAGATAAGATCCCTGAAGTTGCAAAGACTAAAGTCTCGAAACCAAAGAGATACTTTATCAAAGTTAAGACTCTGTCACGCCCCCCTAAAACGGCTCGTTCTAACACGCCCCCACATATCTACCTCACTATGTGTGAATATTAGCATAATGCGCCCAAATGTTCACGCAAAGAAAGAAGGCGTGGCTTCAGTAACCGCAGTTAGTGTTGAAGCAGCATGTCAGGGAGACGCTGTGTGTTTCTAGACGAAAGCAAAAGCACTTTATTTGGCCTTCCGAAAGTAGATGCATTTAGGAATCTTTAAGATCACTTACAACTGAAAACAGTGTTTCCCCTAGGTTTATGGCTATTTGGCTATTATACACAAAATAATGATCTTTAAAAAAGCATCATATGACCCCTTTAATCAAAAATATCTTAATTTGTGTTCCGAAGATGAACGAAGGTCTCACGGGGTTGGAACAACATGAGGGTGAGTAATTAATGACAGAATTTTCATTTTTTGAGTGAACTATCCCTTTAAAGATAATGGGCAGTTTTTTTGGCATTTTTCAAAGCTTCTTTTGTGCATCTATTTTCATGCATCTTTTGGAACTTGAAATACTTGGTCACTATGATCTGTTGTTGCATGGAAAAGAGCTGATCATTCTTCAAAATTTCTCATGTGTTTTATTGAATAAATACAGTAATACAAGTTAGGAAAGATAAACAAGTACATATTTTTTTTGTCAAACTATTCCTCTAATTTTATTAATGCAAAGGTATATGACATAATAATAATATGATGATTATATGGTGAACTCATATGTGAAGATGCCCACCTTCTCCAGAGTAGTACTCAGTGGGAACGATGTTCTGGTCCCAGATGATCTTCTCGGTGGGGTACAGAGGCATCTGGTTGAGCTGTTCTATCTGGGAGATTCGTCTCTCATGGCGGGACACCTGAACAGAAGAGAGAAAGGTTTCATGGGGTTTGTTTCGTCTTGGCCAGCTGAGCTCCTCCATTAACCACCGAATCATCTGCACACTGGACAAAGCATACACAAACAGATGGCCAAACGTAGACTACATACATCACAGCGCAAGAGGGCCAATCACATCCCATGAACATTTTAAAGGAATATACAGTATTAAGATGTTTGATCTTTTGAAAGAGTTTGCTGTACAGAGTTATTTTTTCCAGCACACATTTTGGTCCTTGTTTAAAAATGTTGCCTGTAAATCTAAATATTGTGTTTGAGTCATGCATCGTAAACTGTGCAGTGCAAATCCCCCAGTCTCAAAACGTTCTTAAAAGAAATTGTTATACGCAGTGCATGCATAATAAATTGTCTGAATTAAGTTTCTTTAAAACTTTTCCTGCACTTCCTGATGACTATAAAACCTTTCTATTAAGTGTTCAAATTAGCTAACGCTGTGAGACTACTCTGCTGAGAAAACATGAAACAATTTCAATGAGAAAACGAGTCGGGCGGCTCACATGGGACGCAGCTTTGAGAAAATCTAATTAATTAATCAGGAGTGTTTGGGCAGCTTATCCTGTTAAAGCTTAATTAAGTGTTTTATCTGGTCTGTGACCTGCTCTGACTCCATTGTGGGCCGCAGCACATGCAGATAACCAGATTTCAGCTGTTCAACATGCAAATGACCGCCTGACACTGGCTCCATCAACACAGAGACAGCATTAAAGAGGAAATGCTCAAGTTCTTGATGAGATTTGGAGGGAGTAATTAAAACATGCCGAAGCAGGACCACCGATGGGCCCGAAACATCTTAAACATCTGCAGCAGAGGTTAAAATACACTGTAAGAGTGAGAATTAAAGCCATTCACAGGCCCCAGCCTCAAGCACTTACAAATAGAGGACTTAGCAAGCAGAAAACCTTTTAAACACATTCGACAATAAGGACTGCCTGATGACCTGGAGTCAGCGTGAAGGCCACTTGGGACAGTTGACTGAACCATTGTGACGAAAGTTTATGCACCATTCGGTAATTCTAACACTCTTTCAGGTGTTTTTGCGCTTGAACGGACAAATCCAAACTAATTGTGTCAAAATGCCCATCTTGGTAAGTATCCTCGTAGGTTTGGTCAAGAAAGAAATCTGATGTGTATCAGTATATTGCAATGGTTCCCAACACTGGTCCTGGAGGCACTCCAACACTGCACGTTTTGAATGTCTCCTTAATCAAACACACCTGATTCAGGTCATCGGCTCATTAGTAGAGACTCCAAGACCTGAATTTGGTGCGTCAGAGAAAGGAGACATGCAAAATGTGCAGTGTTGGGGTGCCTCTAAGACCAGGGTTGGGAACCACTGTATTAGTGCATCAGGGCCAGCTGAGCTCCTCCATTAACCACCGAATCATCTGCACACTGGACAAAGCATACACAAACAGATGGCCAAACGTAGACTACATACATCACAGCGCAAGAGGGCCAATCACATCCCATGAACATTTTAAAGGAATATACAGTATTAAGATGTTTGATCTTTTGAAAGAGTTTGCTGTACAGAGTTATATTTTCCAGCACACATTTTGGTCCTTGTTTAAAAATGTTGCCTGTAAATCTAAATATTGTGTTTGAGTCATGCATCGTGCACAACTGTGCAGTGCAAATCCCCCAGTCTCAAAACGTTCTTAAAAGAAATTGTTATACGCAGTGCATGCATAATAAATTGTCTGAATTAAGTTTCTTTAAAACTTTTCCTGTACTTCCTGATGACTATAAAACCTTTCTATTAAGTGTTCAAATTAGCTAACGCTGTGAGACTACTCTGCTGAGAAAACATGAAACAATTTCAATGAGAAAACGAGTCGGGCGGCTCACATGGGACGCAGCTTTGAGAAAATCTAATTAATTAATCAGGAGTGTTTGGGCAGCTTATCCTGTTAAAGCTTAATTAAGTGTTTTATCTGGTCTGTGACCTGCTCTGACTCCATTGTGGGCCGCAGCACATGCAGATAACCAGATTTCAGCTGTTCAACATGCAAATGACCGCCTGACACTGGCTCCATCAACACAGAGACAGCATTAAAGAGGAAATGCTCAAGTTCTTGATGAGATTTGGAGGGAGTAATTAAAACATGCCGAAGCAGGACCACCGATGGGCCCGAAACATCTTAAACATCTGCAGCAGAGGTTAAAATACACTGTAAGAGTGAGAATTAAAGCCATTCACAGGCCCCAGCCTCAAGCACTTACAAATAGAGGACTTAGCAAGCAGAAAACCTTTTAAACACATTCGACAATAAGGACTGCCTGATGACCTGGAGTCAGCGTGAAGGCCACTTGGGACAGTTGACTGAACCATTGTGACGAAAGTTTATGCACCATTCGGTAATTCTAACACTCTTTCAGGTGTTTTTGCGCTTGAACGGACAAATCCAAACTAATTGTGTCAAAATGCCCATCTTGGTAAGTATCCTCGTAGGTTTGGTCAAGAAAGAAATCTGATGTGTATCAGTATATTGCAATGGTTCCCAACACTGGTCCTGGAGGCACTCCAACACTGCACGTTTTGAATGTCTCCTTAATCAAACACACCTGATTCAGGTCATCGGCTCATTAGTAGAGACTCCAAGACCTGAATTTGGTGCGTCAGAGAAAGGAGACATGCAAAATGTGCAGTGTTGGGGTGCCTCTAAGACCAGGGTTGGGAACCACTGTATTAGTGCATCAGGTCTTAAACTGACAGCAGCCTAATTTACCAGCTGTCATTAATGATAATCAAACAACAAAAGACAAAGAAAATCTCTCCCTGCGCTTGACAAATAACTTGTATTACTCTACATTTCATTTATACGGTGAAAGACAGTGTTATTTTACATTTGATTATTAAATGACTGTATCTGATTTCTACTTTTAGACCCACCTGAAAAACCTAAAAGCATTGTTTACTGTGTTCTGTTGCATGCAATGTGTTTATTTTTTCTTGTTTTATTACTGATTGTTCACTTGCCTTACATGTAATCAGAATACAAGATTACATGGGTCAAAAACAAAAGTAATAACTTTTTTTTCAGCAGGACTAAATCTGTATTTCACAAACTTTGGTGAAAATGCATGTATGGTATAAATGCATGTTTAAAATACCCAGAATATCCCCCAGAGTAGGGATGGGTATCGTTAAGGTTTTAACTGTATTACTACTCTTACCGATACTGCTTATCGATTCGGCAATGTTATTTAAAAATATAAAGCAATGTTAATTCAGCTCTTAATTTGTCATATATATATATATGAATGACAAATTAAGAGCTGAATTAACATTGCTTTATATTCTGAAATGTAAAAAATATTTCATGAAATGAATCAAACTAATTTGTAAATGCACCAGTGTGCAGGCATTTTGTGTTTTATACATAAAGATAAGATACAGTAATAACATGAACAAAGAAACAAAGTAAAACAAACTGAGAAAATACAATAAAATAAACAGTGCTTTAATTCTTCCATGAAGTTCTACTAACATTACTTGTCAGGTAAGTAATAGCCTCCAAAAGAAATCTAAAAGTAATCAAATACTGCATAGTTTTCGGTGTATGCATTGATAGATTAATGCTTATTAAAGCTATAACGTTATTTAGATTAAGAGCAGATTTGCATTTTGATGGCCCAAGCGCCAGTCTGTCACTTGACACACATCGGATTTTCTCCCAACTGTTCTCCTCCACTTAAGACATAAACTGTTTAAGTAAATACTCTCCAAGCCGGCCATTTTGATATTTTTGTGAGTATTTGATCGATTGGACATGCGCCCGAAGCTCAAAGTGTAATTTGTTTGTCCGTTTTGGAGTGCGTCGCGTGCACACATTACAGCCTGAGGAACAGCGTCTCTTGTGCGGATTGTGCGGTCTACATTTTATCACCAAACATGTCCCGCAATTTAGCAACAGTAAAGACGGCATCTTAAAACAATCACCGATTGAGCTGATTCTGACGTTAAGTTTGGGTTTTAGGGAGGAACGAATGCGCACCGCTGTGAAGGGAAAGAAGTTGCGCAATACGAAACGCAGCTAGTTTTTAATAGCTTTACCTCATGTCTTCCTTTGTATAATCCTTAGAAGCCAAAATCAAAATTAAAAAAAAATTAGCTTAAAACAGCCACGATCTCGCTTCTGAATTGCGAATAGCAAAAATGCATCATAGACAAATGTTTGAAAAACAGCTGGCGACTCTGGTGAGACAGAATTTGCCAGATAATGTATATATAGCAATAATAAACGTATGTGTGTTTTATTAATTTCTCCAGTACCGATAGCAGTACCGTTAACGTCAGAGCTTATCGATACTCCGGTCTTTCATAATTTAGCCCCGGGAACGATTAAATACCAGGTACCCATCCCTACCCCAGAGTGCATTTTTATAGCATGTGAGAACATATAAACAAAATATGCTTGCAAGAATGCATTATCTATTGGGAAGCAGGAACATTGTCTTTTGACATTATCTCCGTGCATGTCGAAAAACTTTCCTATGCTCATTTGGATGTCTGGTGACAAACATATGTGCTGGGGGAAAAAAAAGGTTTGAATAGCAGTTTGTGTGAATGTGACTAAATGTTCTCAATCAGAAATGTGTGAAGCTATGTTGTAAGCTTTAAACCAGGGGTGCCCAAACTCGGTCCTGGTGGGCCGGTGTCCTGCAGAGTTTAGCTCCAACCCTAATTAAACACACTTGAACCAGCTAATCAAGCTCTTACTAGGCATACTAGAAACTTGAAGGCAGGTGTGTTGAGGCAAGTTGGAGTTAAACTCTGCAGGACACCGGCCCTCCAGGACCGAGTTTGGGCACCCCTGCTTTAAACAGTCACTATAATGTGCCATATTGTTACTGTTAAATTAGATAAGCCTATTTTTTTATTATTACTTTTCAGTACTGAACAAAACATATTTACGGTCTACATTTCTCTCAACTCTCCTGACATCTTGATTTTTTTTTTTTGCAAGCTTTTTTTAATGCATTCTGGTGCTGCTTTTGAAACTGGCCAAAACAAAGTACAGGAATTCTTTATCGTAGGATGTATCTTCTCCATCAGGAAGCTCAGGGAGGAGACACAGGTATGCCGACACCCGGTGGAGGGTGTTGGGACTACAAGCAGAAAGAAGAACAGACAAAACAGAGTCGCAAATGAACAAAAGCGAACAGAGCCAAATTATTTTGCACATGTAATTTATCTAACATTTGTCATAATTATCATATACAACTTGAAAAGTTTAATTTCACAATTTAAAAGTCCAAACTATTAGCCACTAATTTCATAATTTGTAATGTTCTCAGTATCTTGGTTAATGAAATATTCGGATAAAAAATGCCAATTAGAAAAGCATGACATAAAAATATTATGATATGTATCATAAAATGATGATTACGAGGCGATGCATTTCAGCAAGTTGTACCGTTTCTTTCAACATACAAAATACCTTCTGATGTTCATTCATGTTTATTTTGTGCTTTAACTAGTAATGAAGAGGAAGAGATATCGGTTCATGTGCCACTTGTGGTGACAGATCGCTGTAGCATCTCATTAAAGAGCACTAAAACCACATTTATTGTTTGGATTTTATAATAAAATCCATGTCATCCATTTTGCGTAAAGGCTCATTCTGAATACAAACAATTCTTCTTTAAACATGTTGACAGGAAGACAACATTGGGCAGGATATGGAATAAGGATTTTTGTTTTTGTTTTGAAATAACAGATTTAAATTTAAAAAAAATTTTTTTTTACAATAATTAATTTTTTTATCGTGTTTAGCAATTAATTGAAGATATAATTGACAGATTAATCGATTATTAAAATAATCATTAGCTGTGGGAAAACCCTGATTGTGGAAACCCCGTCTGCAGTTAAGGGACTTTATCATCAAGCTCTGGCAGGAGCCATTAATCTAATGGGCCGTATCTCACTCTCTCTCTCTCTATAAAGAGATCACATTTAACTGCCGTCACTTACCTGAGATGGCCGAAGTGTTTGGTGAGGGACTCTCGCGTGTCCACTGCGGCCACATTAGACAGGGCAAAATCATTGAGCTCAGGGAAATGAGCAAACGCTGCTCTCTGAAAAACAAACACCGGTGCTTTTAAAATATTAATTTAGGTAACGGAGCATACTGCATATTAATACATACTAGTGATACTACTAGTTATTTATAGGTCAAATACAGTGCACAATATAATAGAGTACAATTCAGGGCTCCCACTCTTTTTAACCAAATCATTTCTATGGCTTTTCAATCACTTAAATCTTCATTTTCTTTCCCAAACTTTCATTACCTTTTATTCTTAAAAGGCACTGAAATGACAAAACCACTTTGCTTGATGCACTCAGTGATTGGAATAGACTGTTTTTAAAACTGCAATAAATAAATACATTTAAATATACAGTGGGGAAAATAAGTATTTGGTCAATAACAAAATTTCATCTCAATACTTTGTTATATACCCTTTGTTTGCAATGACAGAGGTCAAACGTTTTCTGTAAGTCTTCACAAGGTTTTCACACACCGTTGCTGGTATTTTGGCCCATTCCTCCATGCAGATCTCCTCTAGAGCAGTAATGTTTTGGGGCTGTCGCTGGGCAACACGGATTTTCAACTCCCTCCAAAGATTTTCTATGGGGTTGAGATCTGGAGACTGCCTAGGCCACTCCAGGACCTTGAAATGCTTCTTACGAAGCCACTCCTTCGTTGCCCGGGCAGTGTGTTTGGGATCATTGTCATGCTCAAAGACCCAGCCACGTTTCATCTTCAATGCCCTTGCTGATGGAACGAGGTTTTCACTCAAAATCTCACGATACATGGCCCCATTCATTCTTTCATTTACACGGATCAGTCGTCCTGGTCCCATTGCAGAAAAACAGCCCCAAAGCATGATGTTTCCACCCCCATGCTTCACAGTAGGTATGGTGTTCTTTGGATGCAACTCAGCATTCTTTCTCCTCCAAACACGACAAGTTGAGTTTTTACCAAAAAGTTATATTTTGGTTTCATCTGACCATATGACATTCTCCCAATCCTCTTCTGGATCATCCAAATGCTCTCTAGCAAACTTCAGACGGGCCTGGACATGTACTGGCTTAAGCAGGGGGACACATCTGGCACTGCAGGATTCACTGATCTCAAAGCCAGTGTAGAACTTCAACATGTCCAGGAGCTGAACACAGTAACAACAAAAAAACTGATTACAACAGTTCAGTCTCTCTGCGTTGAATAGTCTCCGTACCCGGTGTATATTTTTGCTTGTGCTTAGGCCTGCTGTCATGGTTTTGGTCTTACTATTGATAGTTTTCACGTGACGTCACACCCTTATAGGAACGCCCACCTGGAGGGCAAAACGAAGCTTTGCTCCACTGACCGCCAGTTATTTTTACGCAGTTTGCATTAAGTAGTAATATAGTAAAACGCAGATATTAAACGGTGAAATTCAGTAAACCCCTTATTGATTGTGTATATTTTGTATAGGCAAGCAGATGAAGCCAGAATATAAACTCAATGTGCAAAGTTTCACGTTAAATGCTTTACCATAGAATACCATTTGAAGGACAACACTGAACAATT